CAAAAAATTTAGTTCTAATTTAAAAAAAAAAAAAAAAAAAAAACTAGTTAGTTAGTGTTTCAGCATATCCTGGTCAGCACATCTTGAAGTTCTTTATAAAGTCACTCTTCCTGTTTCACTGACTGGAGATCAAAATATTACATTGCTTGCTCATTAGTCTCATTCATCAACACAGAAAAAAACCTGGAGATGAAGTGGAACAGACAGGTGGCCACGCTTGTAAAAAGGATATTAATATCTCTGGAATCTATGCATTTGCTCTGTCTCATACTTTTATTTTTGGCATCACTCACTCCCTGTTTTCTCTCCAAAAAGCAGCCATTTACTGAGCTCCAGTTGCAAGGACAGTGAATTATTTATGGTAGCTGTTGATCTGGCTGTTTTTGCTGGGGTACAGCACTGTCCGGCACCATCTGAACAACAGTGAGATCAATGTTAACCCTCTCGTTACTGCCCTGTCTTTGCTTGATTACACCCAGACTGACAATGGGAGTGTTTGTAGGTCAGAGGCCTGTCCCACTGCCCTCCATCAGCCCACAAGCAGATTGGTATGAGCTCTGATCAACACAATAGGTTTCATCAGCTGACAAACTACCGACATATCCAGTTTTTTCTACATTTAAAATCCTCTTATGAAAGATTTTTCACCAGCCATCAACTAACCAGTAATGGTCAGCTCTCTGGGAGCGGATCGGTGAAGTAACACAGCTTTATATTAAAGCATTAAAAAGTTTGTTCTGATTGTTAAAAGTAAGGTGCATCGGGAGTGGCTGACAACAAACCGATAGAAGAGCTCAGATCAGAAAATCCCTTCACTTTTTCACCTCTGATTTAAATCTAATCAAGTACAATCTCTGTGTTTAAGTGTTAGGATTAGAGCCCTCTCTCTATGTGTGTGAAAGAGACAAACATGAGGAAACCTCTTTAAATCCTCACCTGCTGATGTCTCTCATTCTCATTTATTGTAGCTCTGACTGGAATGATGAGATCATTATTACTTCATGTTATCATCACGTAATGAATCCTTTGTCTCATCTTCTATGTAACTATTGGCTCAACACTAACTTCTCACTATTGTATATAATCACACATACATAATCATTTGATCCATAAGGAACAAATTATAGCAGCTTTAGGTTATTCCTCTTTTTTCTTTCACAGAAATCAGTTCCTCCCAGCGATGTCATTGTTTCAAATGAACAAACTCCAAACAATTAACAAACCAAACAGGTGAATTTGTGCTACATAGTTTATGCATTTGGGAAAGGTGTCTTTCTGTGTAGGGCTCCGAGCACAGTGTATGTCTGGAAGTGTTGACTTGGTCTACACAGTACCTGCAGGATCCAAGGGAACATGAGTAGAAGGATTGGTTATAGAATGTGAGAGAGGGTGGTGTGTGCCCCCGGGGGTGCACAGCTAACTATGATAACCTTGTTCAGCTACGCACATCTGTTTATTATAATCACACACAAACATTCACACAAAGTGTACAATTAAAGCTCTGACATGCCACAAGGCATTGTTTGTAACAAAATAATCTGTGCACCATGTGAGCTTTTGTCATTTCAGTAAACAATAATTCTGTTAGTATTGCTCTTATTTCAGAAAGAGCATAACACACTATTTACACTTCACTTTCAACAATGACTTTTTATCATTTTTCTCTTGGCCAGTGTCTTTGGTTTTGTTGGGAAGAGACAGCAGCCATTGTTATTTTTTGCTTGATAACCCCAAAAGGTCCAACATTTCTAGTATTATATTAGCCTGACAGTGCTGTTGTTTATAAACCATATTTTATGATACATTTTATGATACACACATGAGTAATGGAGAGAGAAATCACAGCTGGTGCAACAATGGTCCCAGAAGTCAGTGACGCTCCCCGTCTCTGTGGAAACTCCACAGATGCAGGATCATAGCCAGAATGAATTTATGTGATGTGAAAGAAGTCACTTCATGAAATATAACTCATATCTGCAGTTACCATCATTTATACACAGCATTAAGGTATCCTTAAGTTCTTCATATTGAATTTCCTGCACCACAGCTTTACTGTTTTCCTACTATGGCCACTCTTGTAGTGTCGCTCTTGGTTATGGGAAGCTGCTGTCCCAGCAGCAGACAGACAGAGTTAGCAACCCCCTGGTGAACACACTGAGGTGTTGAGAGCTAAGGAGCTAGGTATTTCCCTCAGGAGTAGATCAAGACCAAAAACAGAGCTAGGTCCTATTTGTATCTATTCTCAGACAATAAGTTCCAGTGACTAGATAGCAGAGTGGCATAGCAAAGATGTATGCTGTATGAATCCTTCAGGGTTTGATTAACCAAAGATGTAGACAGAACATGGTATAGATTTTTACCCTTCTAATTTGCCCATTAAACATCATCTACTTTCTCAGGCTTATGTGGGTCACATCCAGGGGGAATGAGCTAAGAATTCAAGGAGAATAGGAACAGTTCCTTCTGCACCATTTCTGCCCCTGCGGTGTGCCATCTTCCTCTGTAACATGTTTTCAACAGCTGCCCAGTCCTTCATTCCAAACCACACCAATGTGCCCCTCTCTAATACATTTCCACAACTATCAAAATGTGGCAGAATGGACAGTATGAAGGCTGGGGCTGAGCAGCAGATGGGATATGTCTTCTCTGGAGGCCCAGCCCTGATCCTTTTTAGCCTCATGAAATCACACACTGATCTCACTGGGACTATCTAGGTTGATGTGTCTGTGGAACAAGCTACAGACACACCAAACATGTTAGAGATCTGCTAGCACAGTGCCATTAGAAATAAGAGATCTTTGTCTGGAGCTGTGTGGTGGTGGCCCCAGTCCAAGGCTGCCTCAGTGTGTGTGAGTGTGTGTGGGAATGCATCCCTATTCCTGTACAAAAACAGTGTGTCCTATTCACTCAGTATTAGTGTGAACATTACTCAGGGTGATGACTCAACGTTCCTGTCTGACTTTTGGCTTGCATAGCACTTGGACTAGTCACTTCAGGCAACATCAACACAGCAGCAGTTATTTAACTCATTGGCTGAGATGACACACCAGCTTCCACATTACCTCTGACACACACACACACACACACACACACACACACACACACACAGAGCTTATGCCTCATAGTGATGGGGTCAGTAAACTGCCCCATCACTAGGATTAACCTCAACTACATCCCTACACATCACACACACAAGCTGTTATTGTAGCTTTGTGTTTTCTGCCTTAAACGATCTGTGTGTGTGTGTGTGTGTGTGTGTCTGTCTGTGTGTGCTGAACTTCTGACCACCAAATATGGAGGAGAATCTTCCTCTCTCTAAAGTCCTGCTCCACTTCTAAAAATAAAAACTGTGTTAATAGAACAAACCTGTGGTCACAATTCTGTACATCCCTCCTGAACTAAAAGATGAGTTTCTGCAAAAGAAAAGTTACTAAAATTACTCACAGGGCAGGCGTTTGTTGTGCAGGTTGGCTGAAGGGGAGCTCATGTTGCTGAAGAGTCGGAGGTGGCAGAGATAATAAACGGAGGCCAGTCAGCCCTGTAAGAGTTCAGCAGAGAGGCTGCCAAGCATCTCACAGCTCCTCTGCCTTGTCAAAGCTGTTCCAAAGTAACGGATGCTGGCTGTCAGACTGCTGCTTTCCTTCCCCTCTTCCCTCTTTCCCATCTGATTCTCATGGATGAGGCGACAAGTTTGGAGTCAAGCAGCTGACCAATGACAGAGAGGAGGGAGGAGCTGAGGGAGTGCAAGAAGGAACTGAGAAGAGGGAAGGATGGTTTTTATGTAGCGAAGTGGAAAATACCAAGGAGGGACAGACACATGCCTTTCTTATTGCTGTCTCCTTACCCTCCTTCACCCTCACCTCCTCCCTTTCTGTCTCTTGTCTTCTTCCTTTGTTTCTTCTGGATTTAAACCCTCTCTGTCCTGTTTCAACTTCAGGGTCAAGTGATGTCAAAAAAACAGTACAGTTTCAGATAATATTTTATTGTCATATTCTTTGGAATAGCACTGATGGATTTGATAATGTAAAATCTTTATCAGATGATCTAAATATTTAGTTTGCCACAGAATAACACATTTTTACTTGACAACAAATAGAAACATACAGGTCTTTCTTACTGTAACATTATCATTCAATTTTGCTTTTCTTGTTATGTTTGCTGAAAATATAAATCTAATCAAAACATGAAGTAACCTTTTTTTTTTTTATTATCATTAAGACTTTTACAAAACTGTTTCTTTCTTTGGTACATCATTATTCGCTGGTGGGAGAAAGTGGATTACTTCTACTGACCAGGAATCAGAGTCAAAAAACTGTCAGGCACAGTATAACATCTGAAAGTCTGCATGTCCTTTACACCATCTAGTGGAGAACAGATGTCAGTTCCAGATCCTCTAAGCAGGACTCGCTCATTACACCATATTTGTACATACATGCTTCACAAAGCAACATTACATTATTACCTTTTTTTTCCAACACACTGCACCAGAGCTTGTCAGAGGCTTTTTAAACGGTAAAAAAAACGCTGTGCTTAGGTTACAAAAGATGGTGGTATGAGTCATCACGGCAATTTGTTTGCCAGAATCAGCACAATGGGAGCAAACATGTTGATCATCCACAATAACTTTGATTAATGGAAAATGTCATTTCCCCTATATAATAATTAATTACTATTTGTGGACCAGTTGATACAAATTCCTTCACATAAGACAGCAAATTAACAACAAACATTCATAACTGTATATGTCTACCCATGCACACTCTGAGCACAGAAACTTTCACTACTGAAACTCAGACTTGGTATCTGTGCCAAGCTGCAAAGTGAAACTGCAAATACTGGCTGTAATGTAGCAGTTGGGAAGTGGTGGGAGTGATTGGCGATTTCTATCAATAAAAACAAACTCTTTGTAAATGTCAGTGGTTGAGGTGGTTGGGGCTTAAATGTGCTAGTCACAGCAAAGACTGCGATGCATCATCTCATCAAACCCTAAACTTCCTGAAGTATGTCTGTGTGCGCGCGTGCATGTTCAGAATGTACAAAAAAGAGAGAGAAAACAGATACACAGAGAAAGAGAGAGAGGGCGAGTGGGCAGAGGAAGCATGATGTGACTCAAAGTGAGAAATCCTCTTCACCTCAAGCTAAATTATGCGTGGGCTTTCTCATAACTGGGGGTTCACCTGCTGAGGCCCTGCAAAATCAATAGCTGAGACCTGGCTTGCTGTGCTGCTGAGGCAGCCACGAAGAAAAGGCCAACTTCTCTTTCTTGTGTTTTAAAATGAGATGAAAGAGAGAGGCAAGCAAGTGCAAAGTGAAGAAAAAATATAGAAAGCAAGCAGGCAGCAGAGCGTGGGTGAGGGTAAGGGGACATTGTTTATGGTTTCTGCACAAGCATGAAAGGATCTCATTTTTATAGAGGATTAGCTTAAGTACATAATGCTGACCTTTGAATGCTCTGATGAAAAACAGTTACTGGCCATTTCAAAGCAGTCATTCTGTTCATTGTCTTGCTCATTCAAGATGAATCAGTCCACATCTGCCCCGTGAGGCAAGAAAAGCAGGGAGAATTGACGACAAGTGAGGGTTATTTGCTACCAGACTGCAGATGTGATAGCAAGATGTTTGTTTTGCAATGCTTTTTTTTTTTTGCATGTGTGTGTCCAGGCGAGTCTAAAGCAACGGTTTCCCGCCCTCACTACACCAGGCAAAACGCCAAAGCCATCAGGCAGTCATACGCCTACCGTCAGCTGAGGAGTTACACAGCAGTCTCATTTCTAATTATACACCCAACAGCAGTGAGCTACACAGAGAGAGGGAGAGAATGTGTGGAATATGCAGAGAGGAAGAGAAGGGTGATTACAAATGGAAGAGAGGCTGAGAGTGCCACTCAACAGCAAACACAGGGTGAACAACTTCAGCTGTCAGAGAGAGACAGAGAGAGAAAGAAAGAGAGGAAGAGGGAGAGACATCAAACCTGTCTGAGAAAGGTTAACAGGACCGACTGACTGACTGAGGAGAGTGGGAGTGTAAAATGTAAACGTGAGTAGGAGGGAAGAGAGAGAGAAAGAGGAGGAGGAGAAGAGAAGAGAAAAGGAGGAGAGTGTGTCTGATACTGTTGCACTTGTCTGGATGCTTCTGCTCATTCTGGTCTGTTTTGCCTTTTCACCTGCAGCCTGGGAGGACGACACAAGCCTGACAGGTGTGTGTGGAGCGTCTGGCTCCATTTCGTGAACATGGATCGACAAGCTGTGTGAAAATGGATGCAGAGAGAGATGGATGGACAGATGGATGGATGGAGGAACATGTAAGTATGTCTCCTACATGAAGCTTCTCTGAAACCAATTTACCTTGATGTGTGTAACAAAGAAACTGAGTCAATATTCCTGTTTTACTCCATGAAAAGCACCAGATGTGATATATGCATAAGTCTTACTTGCTACAACGTCATAGATCCAGCTGACTAAGTGCAAAATTATCACTACTGATATTGAAATTATTAATATAATGGCTTCAAAGACATTAAACACCATGGTGTATACACTTGATTTCCATAAATTAACATTCTGTAGTGGACTAAGCGCCTCATAAGGTTACTGAGCCTGGAGAATGTTACAGTGTAGGCCTGTTTGGGCCACGATCTGATCATATCTGTGTGTCGGTCACTGTGAGTAAGTAGCCTCGGAGCCATTTGAATGAATTTACATGTACACAGCAGGCATTTAGCTGACAAATACTTATCTATTTATGTCACACAGAAATTGCAGTGTGAGGGTGTTGTCTGATCCCCCCCCACACACAGACACATATACATCCACAGAGAAACAGCTCATATCAGAGACATGCCTGTCAGGAAGAGTCAAAGAGGTCTATTCAGCAGTGGTGCTCAGCTATGATGATGACATAATGCAGGGCACTGATGAGCTTTGCATTGACAGGCTGTAAAAGTCCGGCACTATTCTGCACCTCATTGCACCACTTTGTATAACTAATATGTCTGCAGAGCGGTTGAATAGGTAAAAACCTGTCGTGTGTGTTCTGTGCTGTGGTCACAAGATGCTTATAATTAGCTTCCATTAGTGTACTGACTCACTGCTGTGCATTCATGCAAGAAGGATGATGAAGTTTCAGTAGCTTGAGGTGTTGCAGATCATCTCGGTCCCATGAGAAACATGCAAGCTGAGGCTATGTTTTTAACACCATGCACCTGTTTAGACTAGTGTCTACTGGAAAATGTCACCATGAGAACATTATTGAAAGATATCATTAACCTCAAAGGAAGTGAATCAAATGTAATGGTAACTTTACACACAGCTGATGTTTTGCCTTGTCCTCATTCCTTCACCAGCCACACTGTGCAGTATCTTCTTACCATTGTAACTTGAACTTGTTTTGTTTTCACAAAGTAGTTGGTAGATATCCATCAAACTAAACCCCATAATTATCACAATTAGTGGTTGGAAAGTCCTGATTTGAAGCTTTTGGTGGAGTTATTGGTGAGATGTCAAGAGGATATTTGCGAGCAGTGATCTTATCGAGTGGGATGTCAAATTTTATTGTTCCTCAAGAAAATGTTAAACCAAGAGAAAGTGGCAAACAGAGACAGAGGGAGGTTGAATCCAGAGCAAAATGATTTTCTTCAGCTTGACATCTTGTTTGTGATTATATAAAGTGCACTAACATTTATTTCTCTGACTTCACAGATTGTGATGACCTTGGATCTGCACCACTTGCCAAAAGACTAATGGAATCCATGTCACACGAGCACAACAACACCTCATCTTCTGTAGGGGCCATTCAGTGCCAGTGTGAGTGTCAGGCAACGTGACCCAATGAGCTTCAACCTGGCTCTAGTCCCAGACAGGGACAGTCTCCCTCTCAAAAAGAGGGACCAAAGACCAAGCTCACCACTGCAGGAGCAGCAGCAGCAGCAACAGTGTGTTGCTGCAACGTTCAAGGCGCCTTACCCTTATAAGAGCCACAGTGAGATTAAAACAAAACACACAGGGCCTTTTCAGCCAGTGCCAAGACGAGTTCCTGCGCTCTACCAACCATGGACGCAGACTCATCCATCCACCAGGTCTAAACCTCACATGCTATCCGCCTTTAGAGAGCATCATGGCTGGGCAGAGTGGAGGGAGTTTAACCCCCTACACCCTGGATGGGACTTCCCCCACCATTATCAGCACCACTTCTCTGACACACCTGCACTCTATCCTGGCCATCCACACCACTACTCCAGATTCAACCCTATCCCTCTGGTCCCTGAGGGTTTCCACAGGGTTGGTGGAGAGTACGGCTGGGAGCAGCTGAAGACATTAAAGGACAGGAGTTTGAATGCAGAGAGGTGGAGCGATGGCAAGACTAAAGGACCACATGAGAGGAGAAGAAACAGAAAAGTTGAGTATTTTCCCAGGGTTGGAAAAGTAAGTCCTCCATCATTGTGCACACGTCTACCTCAGTCTCCACAAGAGGGCCATATACTGCAACATGATCTGCTGCACAAATCCACAAAGGTTGTGAAATATCCTGTTTCTCCTGGCGATAACTCAGATAGCACGTACACCTCCATAAATCCTCCTGCTCACCCCACCTCTGAGCATGGTTCTTCCTCCTCTTCCTCTCCCAATCGTTTTCCCTGGCTGCTCCCTCACTTTGCAGCAGGCTCTCTGATCGAGCTCATAGACGGGCGGCTGAGACAGGTGGAGCACCTGCAGACAGAAGACTTCCTGCTTGGCTCACTGGCCTGCCCAGACCTGCGCTTAAGCTATTGCACAGTGCAGAGCATCTTTCCTTCAGTATCCTCCTCCTCCATTTCACGCCTCCTCATCCTGCTGCACGACCCGCAGTCTCAGGTGAAGGAAAATCACTCTGTAGTATTCGTTGTTCACAGCAGATGCATCACAAGCAGTTCAGTGTTCCCTTTAAATAGTACATCTAACAAACGATGCCTTCAGGTAATATGGGAAGGACTTTAAACACAATATTTATATTACATCAGTTTTAAATGCTACTAATTAACTGGGATTAAGGCACAGAGTACAAATTCTTAATAGGAAATGCCTTCAGGATTTGACATATTAAAGGATAAGACAGTGTTTTATTGTGAACAAATCCACTGAGGATACTATCACCAACAATGAAGTGATTCTCCAAACAACAATTAGCTGTGTAGCCAAAGTCTGATCTAGTTTATTCCTCTATGCCACAGGGCTCCACTGTTATCCACAACCTACTCAGCCACACCTGACTGACTTGATTCTTCCATACATGGCTATGTCCACATACGCTAGCCTGGTGCCATAAAGCCCTAGTGTACTAATGTATATTAATCCACAGCAGAAATTAGTCCCAAACAAATGCACCTTTAATTTGTTTGAGTAGCATCTGCAAAAAACTACAGCATCCAGCTGTTTTAGAAAATTAATGAGCCTGTTAAAAAATGAAACTATACATTTGAGTCCTGTTTTTAAATGTTTATGCCTTTCATAGAAACCAGTGGATTTGATGCTGATTACCACAGAGAATGTTGGTAGTCTGAAAGTGTTGAGAGACTCACTCATTGTTTATGATGGAATTTGTTAACAAATATATATATATATATATATACACATATATAAGACAGTCTTAACCTATAATTTCATGTGTACAATGTGTCCCTTATGGTAAAAAAAAAAAAAGAAAAGGCTGACAAAGGTGAATGTCGTCTTGCCACAGTTTTCCCTAATACTATTTTATTTTTCTACAAAATAAAACTATAGATTAATTTGAAAGATGTTTTAATTACATAATAATTAAAGACATTATAGGGAATTTATTTGAAATAAAATGATGAAATGTTGACAAAATATGGATTTCTTTTAATTTACAGATGGCATTACAATGTAGTGAGAAGAATCTTTTCTAAGATAGTAATTACTCATTGAGAAAGGGTATGTGTGCTACCTGTGCAAAAAACTGCAAGTACAAGCCTGAAATTAAAACAGATGTCTTCACCTTAATGTGAGTACATAGAAAACGATGTATGATTTCAAACAAATCTGAAATCATTAGACTTCCATGTCTCTCTTGCTGTTTCTATTTGACTTCAGATTCATCAAACTGGAATGATACCACCCCCTAGTGAGCATGTGCATACCCGGCATCCCTCTGTCTCATTCTACTGTTTACACTTATGTCTCTCCCGCAGGAGTTGGTGGATGTCTATGTGGAGTATCCATTCTTTGTGCGTGGGCAGGGCTGGTCCTCCTGCAACCCTCAGAGGACTGCCCGTCTGTGTGGCCTGCAGTGCCGCCAGCTCAGTGTGGGGGATGTCTGCCTGGCTCTCACTCCCATCTCAGCACCACAGCCTCCATCATCAGCCACCCCGGAGCCTAAATCCTCACTCTGGAAGTCAAGGGGAGGGCATGAGTCCCTAGAGGTACCACACCCACAGCCCCCTGCTGGACCACAGTGGCCAGCTCTGGAGCAGAAGAGGGAGGCCACGGCAGTCCGGAGGAGACACTATTCAGCTCCTGAGCTGAGACATCCAGGAATTAATTGCATGCAGTGATAAGGGTCACTGGTTTATGGGCAGGGAGCAAATCAATCTCTTTTCTGCTCTGCTATATTCAGTTTGTATTTGGTGTCTTTTCTACCTCCTGAGTCATATGTTTGTGCTTCAGTGTCTTTCTTAAGTATGTCTAAGGAAAAGCTAAACAGGAAAGAAAAGCTTGACTCTCAGCATCCCCCAGAGCAGGTATTCGCACATATTTGTCAAGGTAAATCAGGGATCACACACTAACTATGTGCGTCTAATCAGAGTTAAACATCATATCTTCTGTGAGCCTGACCACAGAAATAAACTTTATCCATGTGAGAGAACTCAGGCTTTTTTGTGACACAGTGGAAAACAAAAGTGTAAATTGATGTTGCTACAGGCAACCGCTTCAGTGACAGTGAGTTCATAGGCTCAGAGAATAATGTTATAGTTCATATTATTTCAAGCAGTTCTGTCAGACTCAGTCCACATTTCTTATAAAGCACATACAAATACTGCCTCAGGTCTTTTACTGCTGATGATACTGGGTTAATGGTTACCTCTCTTCTGCCTGATATTCATGATCACGACAGCTTTCCTGCCAGATTACTACAAAACACCTAAAAACAGAAACCTTATCATATTTCTGACTTTGAGATGAGATTTCACATTGACAATCACCACCATTTTGAATCAGTAGAGTTTAGTGTGACGCTTCTACCTCTGTTTTCTATTTACAAGGACAGATATTGTGTTTTTATAGTGTGGGCTGTGTTGTAATATGCTTTGCTGGAAGCTTTCAGCTTCTCTGTGAATACCAATGTGAATGCCTTTATTTGCCTGGTTGTTATATCCGCACATTATATACAGTATGTGCTTTGCTTTTTGTACTAATGCATATTTTGAATGTCTGTGCCACTGTTAGCAGTGGAGATGCTCATACTATGCTAAACAGTTTAAGGCCCAATCAGTAATTAGTGTACAGCGTCACGTGTCAGCACTATGATTTAATTTTCCGCTGAGTATACACAGTTCACACATAATCAAACGAGTGGGACAAAACTGGAATATGAACTATGTAGACTCAACTATGATGTCGCAGTTAAGACAGACAGGCTGTTGTACAACTGACCACAGACTGGGTCTTTAACTTGTGAACCTGTTTTCTCAATGTTAAATAAATGTGTTACGTGTAAAATTCCCTGTATAATTTCATTAGTTTGATCTTAAAACATAATAAACTCTTGATTACTAGGTGACAAAACACCACAAGGTCCATTTAGAAGCAGTTTTGAATCACACAGCACAGTCTTCTTTGGTATATGGAGAAAAATGAAACTCTGAATGTGGAATTTCCTCAGTAAGCTAGAGATTGTGTGCTAGCAGCTACTAAATAAACCTTGTGGAGACACTGTTTTGCCAAGTACTGTTTCCAAAATCAAGAATAAACTTTCACTCTCAACTTTAATTTAGATGACTATCTGAAGGTGCTATGAATGCCACTGTAAAAAACAATATTGAGGTCAGATGAGGTAGAAACACACCTGCTTCTTCCTCGATGCTTTGAATTTCTTTACACTACTTTAACCTGGTAAAATAAAGTTACAGCCTCTGTTTTCCCACCTGCAGCTCTGGTCTGGCACCAAAAGACTGCAGCAGTGGGGGTCCACTTCATGAACATGAAATGCTGTCATCTTACAGACTGTGTGTCTTTCACAGGCCTGGTGATACATGTCTACACCTGGAGACTAGGCCTACCAGCCGGTCCTTTCCCTTCCCACACACAGTCTCAGCTGTCACTGTTCACCGAACTCCTTTATAACGACAGCGCGCTAGATGTTTTACTCTTGACACGGTCCAACTGGCCTGCTGAGGAGCTGGTGAAGCTTGGTGCAGAACATTTTTTCTCATCAGCTCATCCAGCTGGTACAAAGTTGAAATAATTCAACATGAAGATGGATATTTAGCTTTATCGGCTGTGTAACATGTTATCAGATGCACATTTCTACCCAAGTAACATTTATATTCTCATGTTGGTCACAAAGACAGATGTATGGCACATTATATAATCTCTGTAGATGGAGGAAAAGGTCATAACTTTTTACATGTTTTATTACCATGTTTTGTTTGAGTTTCTGAAATAACTCCACACTTCTCAGTTATTTTGCTGCACTTTTTCCAATCACACACAAAAAAAAGAGAAAATATTTTGTCCAGACCAACAGCTCTGACCAATAGCTGTGGTACTGGCTAATACTGATGGGAGGCTCAGCTGCTGGTCATAAAAACAGTATACCTGTACCAGATTAAAGCTCAGTCTGTGGCAGGAGCTCCCTGGTGACCAAGCACCCAGTGTCTCTGGTTCCTCTGCTTCAGTCTTTCTCAAGCATCCCTCTGAATTTGCAAAACTCATAAAACTGGGAATAGCGATCAGTGACAGCCGCAGGCTCTGACCACCATGTTGCGGTACTTCTTGAGAATGACATTGGAGCTGTCATCAAAGTAGAGCACTGAGATGCCATGGAGCTGCGTAGGGGCACAACAGGGCTTAGGCACCGTCTCTGGGTTTATAAAATGAACCTGTGGTTGTAAGAAGCATAAATCAATCCTCACAAAAAGTGGAGGTGGTTTGAAAATGCCTGTCATCAGGGACTGTTTGGGACTTACCAGAGTTTGCACAATAGCATGATTGGTGGCATTCATGTAGGAGTTGAGAGGGAAGGCACATTCTCCTTCACAATAATATGCTGCATAGCCCTCTGGTGCTATGATCCAGTCCTGAGCAGTAAAACTGTCACTTTTGGAAATGGAATGACATTTATTTAAAATATAAGAAAAGTTTAGTATTTTACCTGCCATCCCAAATCTCTGAAACTGACATAGAGCTCATGTTTTTTACACCCCTCTTTAGAAATCCCGAGGTTATCTGAAATTGAAAGCATGCAAGTATGAGTTCACATGAAAATATTAGTATAGGAAATGTATTACATGCCCTTTAATCAAAGTCATCTAGACCAAGGCTGGAGTCTATGTTGGTGAGTTTCTATGGATTCAGTCACCTGTTGCAGCCTCCACTGCCTTTAGCGCATCTTGGACAGTCCTCTGGGGTTTGGAGCGGTTAGATTGGCGCCCCTTGTGGCCTTGGGCAGATCGGATACTGCGGAATCGCACCTCATTGGCTTTGAAGAAGGCAACCATGAAGGGCTGCTTGTCCTGGGGCCTACCACCTGTGACCAGCCCTGCCAGTCGGGGGTTCCTCCTGTGACCTACATGGGAGACAAAATCAACCAGCGTATGAGAGTCTCAAACAACCACTGAAGATAGGGTCATTTATACTTCTACTAAATAATTTGCTCATCTTAATATTATTACAACAACCGCAATATTACCTTAAATGCTGTAGGAACCCTCCACACAGACACACAGACATACTTAACACATGATGTCCATTTAACCATCAAATAAAACAAATATTAATCATTCATAAACACCATTACTCTACACAAAGACTATAGCTTTTAGACTGCTGTTGCTGCTAAAGACCCATCCTCATGACTGACCATGGCTGTCTTCCAGGATCAGGTGCAGGCCGAGATTCTGCTCTGGGCTGAACAGCCACAGGTTACTGGTAGCAGTCAGGTCAAAAACCAGCCAGCCCTCCTCTGCAGCCCAAACATCTCGTTGGTCCAGCAGCAGCAGCTCCACCTCACTGGGGAGAGAACAACCTGTATGTATAGCCAAGGCAGACCTACATTTCACTCCTATATGGTTCTACTCCATCAAAACATATGATGAATCAAATCAAATCAAATCAAATTTTATTTGTATAGCGCCAAATCACAACAAAAGTCATCTCAGGACACTTTACAAAGTAAGGTCTAGACCTTACTGTTATCAATATTATTACATAGGGAAAACCCAACAAATCCCCCTT